TACAAAAATTGGTAAGCTTACTCATAGACTTACAAGGAAAGTGTCCGAAAAATTTAAAGCATATCCAACCATCAGAAATTATGTTACAGCTAAAATCAGCGTATTTTGCCCCATTTTGATCACTATATCAACTCCGATATCCACCAAACTTTTCGGACAGTTGCGAAAGCCCTATTGGAAGGTCTTCGCCAATTTTCAGAATTATCTTATACAAGGAATCGAAGATATATCCAAATAATACGACAAAAATCAACGAATTTACTCAAATTACGCGACTTTTACAGCTATTTTTGCTCCAAAAGCCGCGCAGAATCAAATATGGCACCTAGGCGAAACTCACTAATCTTTCCAAAAAGGTATAACAAATTTGGTATTGTGAAAATTCTCACAGTCTCTAGAAAACAGTGGTACAAAAATTTTAAAATCCGAGCAAGTTTATTTTTATCGTGCACCCCCTAATGATAGCCATGTGTCTACGCGTACTATTACTGCGTGGACTGTCGCAAACCGACATATACAGAAGTTATGTGAATTGGTTCTTCACAACCGAACTGATCCATAACTCTTGTCATCCAATCCTCAGCTTTAAACATAATACTGTCGATCTCCGTGTCGTCCACAGCTGCCATGATGCAAGGCTAAGCCACAAGGTGAAAGGCACAATATCTCACCGTTAAACAAAGCGAGATAAGAAAGCAGATAAGAGAGCAAATTAAACAAACGTATGCTATTAGTGTAGGGCTGAACTGAAAAACGTATGCTATTAGTGTAGGGCTGAACTGAATGCTATTAGTGTAGGGCTGAACTGTATGCTATTAGTGTAGGGCTGAACTGTATGCTATTAGTGTAGGGCTGAACTGAATATAAAAAGATGCTGTTCTTTAGGTGCATTATTGTGGTTCAGGTAAAATCGGTAAACTGGCTGGAGTGGGTTCGTAGTTTCCCAGCATAGCTATAGCTCAATAAAACTTTGAAGTGCCCAATGTCACTTCCTCTGTCTGTCTGCATGAAAGATGTCAATCTTCACTTGGATTTTTATGACATACGTTTTACACTATTGTGTCGTTTTATTTTTGTTGGCCTTGTTAAGGAAGCCCAACAAAGTACATTGGTAAAATAACTATTTTGTCTTTGCACTTATGAGAATTAACTTACCATCTTTTATATGCCTTTAACCTATGATAAATAGCACTGCCATTAACATCTCTGTTATTGAATTTATGGAACATAGCCAAACCAAACCAATCCACAGAATGATTAAATCCCATATCCTTGCATATCAAATCTGCGATATGGTCTGTGATGCTCGAGACGGCGACTGTAATGATATCTGTTGTCATAACTGCGTCACGTGAAGAACAACAATATAACATTTTGATTGTTTGTATTTCTTACTCCCACTTGAACAACTGGAAAAGCAGAATAAAAATGATTGTTAATTTATTCGTTGATTTTTGTAACCAGTTTTGTAACATGAGTGGTCTCTAGAACTCGGGCACAAATTACAAACTCAATTACTAATTTTAATATATTATGGTATATCTCCAGGTAGAAGGTAGTAGTCGCAACTATTTCTTGCATCCATTGTAGTACCTTTAATTTATAAATAATTGTATAATTAATATATTATAATAAGTCAAGAAAATACCTCTGTGGATGTTCTAGCGACAACAATTCCAACAGTGGCGTCACTAGGAAGTCCATTCCATCTGTATAATTCAAATTGAACTCTCTCTGTAAAAAACACGTTTTCAAGCTTGTCGTTAAAGTTCACGGCTTCAGTTTATAATTATATCATACTGGGGGCAAAAGTGGCATACTTTGCTGTCTTAATTTTGGCCTTACTCTACTATATCTGTTTGCCTCATATATTTATATAATATCTTATTCAAACTTGCACATTTGTACTAAGCCATAAACTCACAAAGCCATGTCATCATAATCATAAAATTGTTCAAAATCATATGATACGGACCAATTCATAATAATTGTAATTAATTTCAACTAGTATAATTAACTATGAATATGTCTTACCTGTTTCTTTAGTTCGATTAAGTAACCAATACGTTAGAATGAAAGCAAGTAGATTCATTGAACTGGAATGAAAGGAATTAGTATTAGTAAACTATTGTCTTTATATCCTGATATTAGACTGTATTGACTATTGAGTAATGAATTTGAGAAAAGTATAAACTTTAATTACCTTTTATAAAGTTACAAAGTTGCTGCTCCGTTGCGAGTGAGAACTGAGACATAACAGACCGTTATAACCAATTAAAGTTTAAACTGTTGGACTGGAGTATACTGACAGATGACCTTGGTTTTTGTGAACCAACTGAACGCTGAAAAAATCTTGAAGAAAATGTTCTGCAACAAGCAGGCTTGTCCGCCGTGGCTAAATGGATCGGCGGCGGCGTTTCACTAAAATTACACCGGCGGCGGCGGCGTACGCCGGCGTGAGCCGTGAAATCAAGGCCAACTAAATTGAGGTCTATGAAATATGAATATGATCATGTACTTAATTTGGGTAATTTAGACTTAACTTCAACAAATGATGTTGGTTACTGCAAAGATCCAGTATCAACCAATCAGTGCAGTAGTAGAAATTGGCACGTGACGGTGTCGGGTGTCACAGGCAATGCAGCACACAAACGTAACATGGATCAAAGTTCGGGCAGTCAACTCACTCAACTGTCAGCAATGTAATGCTCCTCTAGTTAGCTCCTCTACTTATACTGCAGCAGCGATGTGTTATTTTAGAAAATAGCAATGTTGCTAAATATAAAATACGATAGAGTTATCTAGCTGTGTCTCTGAACTTATTTGTTAACTATCACTTTTATCGGTTACATTGTCCAAACTGCAGAGTTGAAAAATACGTGAGATAATTTTTTAAATACGCCGTATTTTGCGTATTTTTGCTTAGAAATAAAATACGTCAAAAATACGTTAAAATACGTTTTTCTTGAAATTTATTTCAAAGACTAAAGTTATGTCATTCGTTTGCATTTTTTTCAGACACATTTCTATTTAACTTCGCTTCAACGCTTTAATGCTTTGGTATAGCACGTGCCCAGTACTCTGAAGTCATATGCGAGGTGAAAAACGACAGAGCTACGCGAGTTTTGATAAAATCGTAAATTTATATAAAGCAATAGTACTTATTACTTTATTGGAGCTATCAATGGTACAATAACACTTATTACGTATTTTATTCAACGAAAATAAAATACGCCGTATTTAACGTATTTTTGATATTTTATAAAATTCGTAAAATACGTATTTTTCAACTCTGGTCCAAAGAAGACGTCAAATTGTCTACCTTTTTGAATAGAGCTCCTATTTGACATGTCAGGGTCTTTGTAACTTGACAATAGTTGGTGCCACTATTCACTAAGTCTTGACGTTCCGATTTGTAAATTTTCGTGTGTTGCAAATTTTAGCTCCCCCCTAAATTGCGGCTCTCAATATAATTAGAGAGAGTGGTCTTGGAGAGAGCGACCTTTTCATAAAGTGTTAGACTTTCTGAGTAGTAGTCCCTTATTCCTTGGATGGAAACGATATAACAGCATACAAGCAAGGAAGCATAGCCGACATAAAAATGGCCCCACTACAACTTCACTTACAGACAGAGCGAAATCTGGTCACGTAAAGATCACTAAGTCCGCTCACGGTTTGGTGTCCCATTCTTTAAATCCTTCTACTATTTCTTTAATTGTGCTAAAGTTGTATTATGACTTACTTGTGTCTTCACCTCTATTTTTATCCACACTCTACCATTCCCCTCAATTCTTTTTTTCTCTACAGCTGGTAACCCCTGCTCTTAACTTCTAAATCTAATTCTAATTTAGCTTTCAGTTTTTAGATACTTTTTTCTCACAATGTTCGCTGTTCGCTGTAGTCGTCAGAGTCTTGTTTCCCACGCCTGTGCACGTCCTTAGTGTCACATTTTCGTGCACTACTTTGACGAGTTCTGCTACTCAATTCACGCGGACGTCTCCTCAGAGGTTTAAGGCGTTGGTGCCTTATCCTCTTATCCTGTCTAGTGTTTGCCACACTCATAGAGCCTGGCAAACTCTAATCACAGGTTAGTCTGGCAGTGGCTCACACTCTGTTGATATCTCTTCTCATTATTGGAACATAAAATCGATCAAGGCAAAGATTAATATCATGTTTCTATTAACACTGCCATTTCTGAACTTATTACCTTAACTTGAATAGCAGTTCGTCAGGTATGTTTTGAGGAGTTCCGTAAGCTAAGGAATTAGGCTCAGCTTTAAGAAAGTAACCTACATAACACAGTGCCGACTACCACTTGATTCGTTATGTAGCTTTTGTTCTCTGGAATCTTTTGTTTTTCTTCACAAAGTTCCCACTAGAAGCACCCTTCTTATGACATGAGCCTAATGAACAATAAATAGCCATTGGCCCTGGTCAATGGTAAGTTATATGATATTCCAATGAATCAAAAAAAGAAAAAGCTGAACTAATTAAGAATTTCTAAGATTTGTGATTACAACCTCGAGCAGGGTATCCTTATTAACAAATCCGTTTACAAGGCCTGGTAGTGCCGATTCCTAAAACTTTAAAAGATAGGTCATTGCACTTCTGCAGTTTAATTCCGATGTAGGGTAAGGACCATGGTTAACCTGAAGGGTGATTACATTAGGGCCAGGGTAGTTCCACAGCTCAGTATAATGAGCTGTATTAAGAATCATAAAACAAAATCGGCGCCAGACAATTTTACTGTTAATAAAGGGCAATTGCTAATTGGCTGTGTTAGATGATAAGACCCTTATATTTACCATGGTGTAAATTAGACGAAACAGAAGATAAGAAGCTCGTTCGAAATGTAGCACCTACTTTGGCTAATCCACGGCTAACGATCACATTCAATTTATACACATCCTTTTTCGTCGGCTAAATCTTTCCTTGTTAATCGAATTACCCCTCAACCCCTGAGAATTTTTCACGTGGTTTGTTTCTATTCTCACAGGGCTAAATCTTGGAACCATCCCAACCACTGCCATAAGTGGGATTTTCAGTCAGTTATGTTAGATCAGATAAAGTACTTGTTGACACCCAAGCGGTTAGCATTAATCGTGGGTGGTTGTGCGGCTGCTGTTGTTTTGATTGTTGTCATAGCAGTCGTTTCAAGGAGTAAGTGTTTTAAATTGTTTTTAACTTAAATCTTTAAATTAATTAACTAAATAATTTCCGTGTTATCGTTATTATATTTTTGTTTTGGAGCAACTTATTCGATTTAAAAAAGCAAATCGCGAATGCAATAATCTTACGTGAAAAATAACAATTCCACCTGCATTTCAGAAAGTGGCCCAGAAAAGGATGAGGCAGTGCCAGTACCTGTAGTGGACAAGATTGTGGCTCATATCAACAATGAAAATATCCGAGAGAATATCAAGTAAGAGTTGACACACACGATAAAGAGATAACAACAGTTATATTTGGTTATCTGACTAATCAAAAGATCAATATTGTAACTACTCGAAACATGATTTTGAGAAACCCGCTACTTTACTATCAATTAAATTAACATCACTAATTATCTTTATCAACCATCATGTAATTAACACAGGCTTAACGTAATCAACATAGAAAGCAATTTAACATTTAATTGAGTAATTTAACATTTAATTGAGTAATTTAACATTTAATTGAGTAATTAAACATTTTGTCAGGTATTTCGCCGCCGAACCACACCCGGCTGGAGGAAAAAGGAACTTGGAACTTGGAGCAGAGGTGTTGAGACGATGGAAGAGCTATGGGTTTGACAAAGTTTTCAATAATGACTACGAGGTCTTATTGTCCCTTCCTACCGAAGAGAGGTTAATTAATTAAAAGTATGATAAAGTTTCGGTAGAACACAGTAACTGTTGGTTTGGTTGTTTTTCAGAAATGTTTAATTTACCAAAAATAATCATAAAATAGATTGGCTTTATCATAACAATTATAAATGTTACTATTGAACTCCAAACGTTTTCAGCTACATCAAATACAGCGGAATTGTACAGTACAAACCTAAAAACAATGAAGACAGCAATATCATACCACCGTTCAATGCATTTTCTAAAAATGCAAAAGTATCAGGGAAAGCTGTGTACGTCAATTATGGTAGAGTTGAAGATTTAGAGGAACTTGTTAAGTTAAAAGTGGATCTAGTCGGAAAAATTGCTCTCTGCAGATATGGAAAGATATTTAGGGGAAGCAAGGTCAGTATAATAAAAGCATGATATTTATATAATATGTTATATTTTATATAATACAGTAGTATAGGTAGTATAAGGGCGACGGTCGTGCTTGCCAGCACTGTGATGGGTGTATAAATAGATATGAACCCTTTTTAAAGCAAAAAATAGTGTTGCAGAATTATGTAACGAACAGTACTGGAGTAACATGTAATAATGATTGATATGAACTAACAAATAAGTGACTGGATAACACGAACATGGTGTTGTCATATGATAAAACTGTAAGACTGAAGTTTAAAAGTTGTGAGTGATATTGTTGTTCTAAAGCAACGCTAAAATTTTGAGTTATAATTTGGTTGTGTTACTAGATCTTGACCGGGGTCTGTCTCTATCGTAGTAGTTCCATTATGATGTCTGGTAGAATTCCTTCATTATTTGTCGACATCTCATCTCCATCCAATGATACTATCTAAAGATGACTCAGATTACAGTTGTGTTCTATACCGAGTACGAGTACTCATTAAACTTGATTTTTAAAGGAAATACATGACGGAGGCATAGGGCCAGGGGCACACCTCACCATTCTTTTGATCTCTTGTAAGCTAGTAGAAACTAAAAATTGTGACGATCCTTAGTAGAAACTGTGATTTGCTGGCCCCGATTTATCGCAAGCCCTGATTTACAACGGCCAATTCTTTTCACAAAATATATGACAGTGAAAGGTTCAAGGTCTTGGATCAAGCAAAATTGAACTTTCCTGAAGAATACTGTTGAATCATGGTCTAACGTTATGAATGTTGGAGCTCAATGAACTGTCCATGGATAACAGTAATGTAAATATCCCGTACTATATATATACCATGTTGCCCGCTTTGATTGTAGTTATATTACTAAATAATTAACACAATTTAAAGTAAATAATCTCTATTTTCAGGCGCAAAATGCCTTCGACAAAGGTATGATAGGCATGATTCTCTACAGCGATCCTTCAGACTCTGGATCAGATAGAGGCGATGTAAGTTTATAGTATATGTAGTATATAATGTAGTAGTATAATGGTAACGATGTAAGTTCTCTAAAATACAATATGAGGAAACATTGAAAAGTATATTGAATGCAGTGTCTCCAAGTATCGATATATCAGTTTGCAAAGCATACATTGAACCCTTTTCGACAGTGACAGAGTAAATCTTACTAGGTTTACCCAGACGGTATGTGTCACTTAACCCATTGACAGAGTAAATCTCACTAGGTTTACCCAGACGGTATGTGTCACTTAACCCATTGACAGAGTAAATCTCACTAGGTTTACCCAGACGGTATGTGGCTTCCAGACACGGGAGTACAAAGGGGTAATGTCAAGTCTATCAAGGGAGACATTTCAACCTTCATGTTCCCATCATACGGTTCGTTTTAGAGTTAGTTTTTAGTTTTGTTTGCTCTTATTTCCTTTCTTCTGATAGTGATATATAGCTTTAGATCAGTTGGCCATCTGGTGATAATATCTTACTTTGAAATACATCGAACTACCAAATATAAACCTGAATGTTTCAGAGGGTGGGTATCATTCGAGCGAAGAGGAGTTAGCTAAAATTGCTCCAAAGATTCCAGTCATTCCTATTCCTTACAATGATATCAAGCCAATCCATGCCCTGATTGAAGCAGATAGCCCATCTACTCCAGAAGGATGGGGTAACTACAAAATAGGACCATCAAATGGGGAGATTGAACTGAATGTCAAAACAAATGACACTCTTGCTCTCTGTAGAAATATAATAGGAGTCATCGATGGAGCGGTGGAACCCGACCGGTATGTTCTTGTGGGAGTACACAGAGACGCATGGATTCATGGAGCAGTAGATCCTGTAAGTGGGATGTCTACAATCCTCGAAATTTCTAGAGCATTTGGGGAGCAACTGAAGACAGGATGGCGGCCAAGAAGGACAATTATATTTGCAAGTTGGGATGCTGAGGAACCAGGAATTATGGGCTCATATGAATTTGCTGAAGACTTCATGACAGGTCTAAAGCATAAGGCAGTAGCATATATCAACATGGATTCTGCTGCAGGTGGCACACAAATGATTAGAATGAAATCGACACCAAACCTCATCAGTCTTCTCTATGATGCCGCAAAAAAGACAGATTCACCTAAGGCGCCATATAAGACCATGTATGATTTCTGGATAGGCACAGAAAAGGAATACAATGACATTGATTACCACCTACCCCCAGTACAGCTGATTGGATCTGGCAGTGACTATACTGCTTTCCTCAATGAAATAGGAGTATCATGTATTGATTTTGCATACAAGAGTAACTATGGCACATACCCTGTGTATCACACCCAATATGATACATACAAATGGCTCAGCACCTTTGGGGATACAGATTTTACTTACCATAAGTATTTAGGAGACATGGCTGCAAGGACAATTTTTTCTCTAGCCAATGATGAGATATTGCCCTTTTCGTCTGTGGACTATGCAAAGAAAATTCAAGAGTTAACATTATCTCTAATCGGAAAAAACACAGATAAATTAGCCCTCAATTTTACTGGTATGAAGATTCTGGCACAAGAATTTGTTGATGCTGCAAAAGAATTCCAGGATCACGTTGCCAGTTACTCTAACACAACTGATGAAAGTGGTTTAAAGCTCAGAAACATCAATGACAAACTGATGCTGATGGACAGACAATTCATTCACGAGCAAGGACTGCCTGGCCGACCTTCATTCAGGCATCTTATATTCGCTCCAAGCTCTACAGATACTTATGCTGGATCTGCTTTTCCGGGGATAGGAGATGAGATGAAGAAGGGGAAAAAAGGATCAACGCAAAAGCAAATAGGACTGGTAACAACTAAACTAGAAGCTGTTACAAGATCAATTGACTCTGAAGTGAGCTTCCTTTAAATCTAATGTTTCTGTTACAAGATCAATTGACTCTGAAGTGAACTTCCTTTAAATCTAATGTTTCTGTTACAAGATCAATTGAATCTGGAGTGAGCTTCCTTTAAATCTAATGTTTCTGTTACAAGATCAATTGACTTTGAAGTGTGCTTCCTTTAAATCTAATGTTTCTGTTACAAGATCAATTGACTCTGAAGTGTGCTTCCTTTAAATCTAATGTTTCTGTTGCAAGATCAATTGACTCTGGAGTGAGCTTCCTTTAAATCTAATGTTTCTGTTACAAGATCAATTAACTCTGAAGTGAGCTTCCTTTAAATCTAATGTTTCTGTTACAAGATCAATTGACTCTGAAGTGAGCTTCCTTTAAATTTAATGTTTCTGTTACAAGACCAATTAACTCTGAAGTGAGCTTCCTTTAAATTTAATGTTTCTGTTAAAAGATCAATTGACTCTGAAGTGAGCTTCCTTTAAATCTAATGTTTCTGTTGCAAGATCAATTGACTCTGAAGTGAGCTTCCTTTAAATCTAATGTTTCTGTTACAAGATCAATTGACTCTGAAGTGTGCTTCCTTTAAATCTAATGTTTCTGTTGCAAGATCAATTGACTCTGGAGTGAGCTTCCTTTAAATCTAATGTTTCTGTTACAAGATCAATTAACTCTGAAGTGAGCTTCCTTTAAATCTAATGTTTATATTACAAGATCAATTGACTCTGGAGTGAGCTTCCTTTAAATCTAATGTTTCTGTTACAAGATCAATTGACTCTGAAGTGAGCTTCCTTTAAATTTAATGTTTCTGTTACAAGATCAATTGACTCTGAAGTGAGCTTCCTTTAAATTTAATGTTTCTGTTACAAGATCAATTGACTCTGAAGTGAGCTTCCTTTAAATCTAATGTTTCTGTTACAAGATCAATTGACTCTGAAGTGAGCTTCCTTTAAATCTAATGTTTCTGTTACAAGATCAATTGACTCTGAAGTGAGCTTCCTTTAAATCTAATGTTTCTGTTGCAAGATCAATTGACTCTGAAGTGAGCTTCCTTTAAATCTAATGTTTCTGTTGCAAGATCAATTGACTCTGAAGTGAGCTTCCTTTAAATCTAATGTTTCTGTTACAAGATCAATTGACTCTGAAGTGAGCTTCCTTTAAATCTAATGTTTCTGTTGCAAGATCAATTTACTCTGAAGTGAGCTTCCTTTAAATCTAATGTTTCTGTTGCAAGATCAATTGACTCTGAAGTGAGCTTCTTTTAAATCTGATGTTTCTGTTACAAGATTAATTGACTCTGAAGTGAGCTTCCTTTAAATCTAACGTTTCTGTTACAAGATCAATTGACTCTGAAGTGAGCTTCCTTTAAATTTAATGTTTCTGTTACAAGATCAATTGACTCTGAAGTGAGCTTCCTTTAAATCTAATGTTTCTGTTGCAAGATCAATTGACTCTGAAGTGAGCTTCCTTTAAATCTAATGTTTCTGTTGCAAGATCAATTGACTCTGAAGTGAGCTTCCTTTAAATCTGATGTTTCTGTTACAAGATTAATTGACTCTGAAGTGAGCTTCCTTTAAATCTACTGTTTTTGTTGCAAGATCAATTGACTCTGAAGTGAGCTTCCTTTAAATCTGATGTTTCTGTTACAAGATTAATTGACTCTGAAGTGAGCTTCCTTTAAATCTACTGTTTTTTTTGCAAGATCAATTGACTCTGAAGTGAGCTTCCTTTAAATCGAATGTTTCTGTTACAAGATCAATTAACTCTGATGTGAGCTTCCTTTAAATCTAATGTTTCTGTTACAAGATCAATTGACTCTGAAGTGAGCTTCCTTTAAATCTAATGTTTCTGTTACAAGACCAATTAACTCTGAAGTGAGCTTCCTTTAAATTTAATGTTTCTGTTACAAGATCAATTGACTCTGAAGTGAGCTTCCTTTAAATTTAATGTTTCTGTTACAAGATCAATTGACTCTGAAGTGAGCTTCCTTTAAATCTAATGTTTCTCTTACAAGATCAATTGACTCTGAAGTGTGCTTCCTTTAAATCTAATGTTTCTGTTGCAAGATCAATTGACTCTGGAGTGAGCTTCCTTTAAATCTAATGTTTCTGTTACAAGATCAATTAACTCTGAAGTGAGCTTCCTTTAAATCTAATGTTTCTATTACAAGATCAATTGACTCTGGAGTGAGCTTCCTTTAAATCTAATGTTTCTGTTACAAGATCAATTGACTCTGAAGTGAGCTTCCTTTAAATTTAATGTTTCTGTTACAAGATCAATTGACTCTGAAGTGAGCTTCCTTTAAATTTAATGTTTCTGTTACAAGATCAATTGACTCTGAAGTGAGCTTCCTTTAAATCTAATGTTTCTGTTACAAGATCAATTGACTCTGAAGTGAGCTTCCTTTAAATCTAATGTTTCTGTTACAAGATCAATTGACTCTGAAGTGAGCTTCCTTTAAATCTAATGTTTCTGTTGCAAGATCAATTGACTCTGAAGTGAGCTTCCTTTAAATCTAATGTTTCTGTTGCAAGATCAATTGACTCTGAAGTGAGCTTCCTTTAAATCTAATGTTTCTGTTACAAGATCAATTGACTCTGAAGTGAGCTTCCTTTAAATCTAATGTTTCTGTTGCAAGATCAATTTACTCTGAAGTGAGCTTCCTTTAAATCTAATGTTTCTGTTGCAAGATCAATTGACTCTGAAGTGAGCTTCCTTTAAATCTGATGTTTCTGTTACAAGATTAATTGACTCTGAAGTGAGCTTCCTTTAAATCTAACGTTTCTGTTACAAGATCAATTGACTCTGAAGTGAGCTTCCTTTAAATTTAATGTTTCTGTTACAAGATCAATTGACTCTGAAGTGAGCTTCCTTTAAATCTAATGTTTCTGTTGCAAGATCAATTGACTCTGAAGTGAGCTACCTTTAAATCTAATGTTTCTGTTGCAAGATCAATTGACTCTGAAGTGAGCTTCCTTTAAATCTGATGTTTCTGTTACAAGATTAATTGACTCTGAAGTGAGCTTCCTTTAAATCTACTGTTTTTGTTGCAAGATGAATTGACTCTGAAGTGAGCTTCCTTTAAATCGAATGTTTCTGTTACAAGATCAATTGACTCTGAAGTGAGCTTCCTTTAAATCTAATGTTTCTGTTACAAGATCAATTGACTCTGAAGTGAGCTTCCTTTAAATCTAACGTTTCTGTTACAAGATCAATTGACTCTGAAGTGAGCTTCCTTTAAATCTAATGTTTCTGTTACAAGATCAATTGACTCTGAAGTGAGCTTCCTTTAAATCTAATGTTTCTGTTACAAGATCAATTAACTCTGAAGTGAGCTTCCTTTAAATCTAATGTTTCTGTTACAAGATCAATTGACTCTGAAGTGAGCTTCCTTTAAATCTAATGTTTTTGTTGCAAGACTAATTGACTCTGAAGTGAGCTTCCTTTAAATCTAATGTTTCTGTTACAAGATCAATTAACTCTGAAGTAAGCTTCCTTTAAATCTAATGTTTTTGTTGCAAGACCAATTGACTCTGAAGTGAGCTTCCTTTAAAACTGATGTTTCTGTTTTTCGAGAGAATTGATAAATTAGGATTTAATGAGAAGAAAATGTATTATAAATTATAGATTTGTCAAAATATCAAAATCGTTTATTTAGAGTTGCCAGTTGAAAGAGATTACGCAAGCCATTTTTACCACTTTTAAAAGAGAAAAAGTCTATCTTCAAAAAATTTAATAGGGGTGTGTTGAAACAGTGACGGCTTTTTTAATTTGCAATGTTCTGATTGCAAGTTAGACCCCCACATATAAAATCCAATGGTTATGCTATTTCCTGCCGTCGACTCTTTGTTAAGTACAATAATCATAAAAAACAATATGGGAGCTTATTTGCCACTAGTATGTCTGTGCAACTGCAAAAATATGTTGCCCATGCCCAATGCTCATAGTCTCATGAACTAACTGGGGATGATATGAGACCAAATTGAGGAACTCGAAGTAAAAATCCCGGAAAAAGTCATATTTATTCCAAAGCTCCAAGTATTGTCCTCCCAAACAATCTCTAATGTAATTGAGAGACTAATGTCTCGGATGTTATGACGTAGTATCTTGTGAATTTTACAAGTAGTTGGTATCATCAACAATTGTTCATTTCAAGGAATGCCATTGCTTCCAAAAGCGATAGGGTGTCTTTCAGTTAAACAAAAATATCTCTAACCTGTCAAAAAGTCAAATGGTTTAATATAACGAATGTGATTGCTGAAAACGCAATGCAATCCCACTTAAAGAGCAGTAATGTCTTCGGTGACGTTTACAGAATCTGTTTTAGTTTTACTCTCTTTAGTCGTGCTCTGAATTTTTTTACATGCCCTTCGAGCCATCTCCATATCAGTCGGTTTATTTGAAGGGCCTGGGAGCTCCTCTGCTGTGATGCAACCAGCATTTGGTACGGTTTCATCTTTCTCAACCCTCTTAAGCGATGTTAGCGCTGCCCAAGATGTTCCAGAAAGCCTGCTCCTTAAAATCGGTAATGATAATTGTGACACACTTTTCACACCAGCAGAGACTTTTGTTGTCAAGGTGTTGTCGTACAGCAGGGGGTTTATCACTGAGTTGATTGGCAGCACCAAAATTGAAAACAGAGCATACCATGGGCTGGCGTCTATAACACCATTAGTGTGCAGAGCACACGTACCAATAAAAGGTATCCAACAGCAAAAGTCGGTAAAAATGATGATTGCTACTTTGTGGTTCATTTTTCGGTTTCTGTCCCTGACCATAGTGTTTGATTTGTTCTTTGTAAGACTTCTGGAAGATCTGGTTGATATCACAGCAATAACAATGTATGACAGTGATATCACCATGAAGCAAACGCAGTTGATCATCAATATAGCCCAAACATACCGTTTTTGTGGATCATCAGCTCCAACGAAGTATTTAAAAAGGCAAACACCGTCGTTGCCATAGAAACCGACTTCTGTGTGAGTAAGTCCACCATAATTCGACGTAAACATGCTGTTCATTAGATCAATTATCACTTTCCAAGAAAGATCCCGATCTTTCATTCTCCCATAGTAAGCCTTAAGCACACTTTTGTGTTTATTTTTGTCAGGAAAGCCAGCAAAAAGCGGAATATTAGTGTTATATGATAAGCCATTCACAAAGTAGTCACCCAAGGAAGGGTGGAGCGGAATCATTGCTATTGCAAAAGATGCAATAATAACTGTGAGGATTATGACAATGTTTTTCAGCACACCAATTTTTGACAAGCCACCACCAAATTTCATTGCATTCTTGATTCCGTACATTCTAGCAATGCTTAGTATAGTCATCGAGAAGAGAGAGAACTGGGAACCAACAGTGCTGACAACACCTAGCACCGAGCAAGATGTGCTTGTCAACCAGGCCTTTTGAGTTTGGCAATACTGGTCACCCTTGACATGATCAACAACAGAAATTGTTAGCAGGTATCCTCCGACTAGGAAATCCCCCAGGCTTATAAGCATGATGAGGAGTTTATTGAGCAATGACATAGCTGTAGAACAATCTTTTAAAGTAATTATGCTTTGAATCAAAACTACACAGTTTAGAATGACTGCCAAAATTCCAATCGCCCATGAAACCCCCTTAAGAATTTTATCTTCGATAATGTTTTTGCCACAGCGTCCATTACACTCATCAGAAAGGTCCATGCAGTCAAATACTCCATCACACTGCTGCGTCATTGCGATCAGGCTAGCTTTACTATCTTTACATCGAAAATGATTCGTGCACAATATTTCATCACTTCCATCCCCACAGTCATCAACTAGGTCACAGACTTTGTCAAAGGTCACGCAACGATTGTTTTCACATACGAATACATCACGGCTGTACGATTCTTCAGTGTTTATCAAAAATGTCAGTTGATCATTATCGACTACCGTATAAATTCGATCGGGAAACTGTCCCGGACAGGAATCATGTCTGACTGGCTTTACCAGTGGACATTTGGCATCATTACTGCATTTCCCTTCACAACTCATGTAAATGTACAGTTCTCCATGCAAATATTCGCAGTTGAATGGACCTTTAGGAAAAATTAACCTTTTCC